TTTCAATCGATTGAGCAGATTAAAATCGATTGTCTGATTAAAATCCGATTTTACTGGGATTAATCAAAGCTAATCGATTGATAATCTTTCAATTCGATTTTTGATGATTGGGATTTCAATCAATTGAGCAGATTAAAATCGATTGTCCGATTAAAATCCGATTTTAGTTGGGATAATGTAAGATAATCGATTGATAATCTTTCAATTCGATTTTTGATGATTGGGATTTCAATCGATTGAGCAGATTAAAATGGATTGTCCGATTAAAATCCGATTTTAGTGGGGTTAATCTAAAATAATCGATTGATAATCTTTCAATTCGATTGTTGATGATTGGGATTTCAATCGATTGAGCAGATTAAAATCGATTGTCTGATTAAAATCCGATTTTACTGGGATTAATCAAAGCTAATCGATTGATAATCTTTCAATTCGATTTTTGATGATTGGGATTTCAATCGATTGAGCAGATTAAAATCGATTGTCCGATTAAAATCCGATTCCAGTGAGGTTAATCTAAAATAATCGATTGATAATGTTTCAATTTGATTTTTGATAATTGGGATTTCAATCGATTGAGTAGATTAAAATGGATTGTCCGATTAAAATCCGATTTTAGTGGGGTTAATCTAAAATAATCGATTGATAATCTTTCAATTCGATTGTTGATGATTGGGATTTCAATCAATTGAGCAGATTAAAATCGATTGTCCGATTAAAATCCGATTTTAGTTGGGATAATGTAAGATAATCGATTGATAATCTTTCAATTCGATTGTTGATGATTGGGATTTCAATCGATTGAGCAGATTAAAATCGATTGTCTGATTAAAATCCGATTTTAGTTGGGTGAATCAAAAATAATTGATTGAGTTGATTGATTTTACAATCGATTATAACATTTTAATCGATTTTAATCGGATTCTTCTAGAAACAGTAGAAACTTTGTTCGAAAAATCGGATTTGTCAGTCGCTAATCAAAAATAATCTGGATTTTCTTCGGAATATTTTTCACTGGGAGTCACCCAACAGCTAAATGATCATAACGAAAAAAGTTTAATGTATGAGTTATTGATAGTTGCATAATCTAGTTGAATAAAAAACAACAACTCGACACTGTAGTTTGAGATGATGTTTAAAGTTCCAAAATATTTCATCTGCAACTGGAATCACAACAACAATATTTATTTGGGAATTTTATCAATATTTATCTTTGTCAGATCCACTTGAATCTACAGAAGACATCAAGTCATTATTAATTATTCTAGTATTAATATTGATAAGCGATAACTTATGGTTGAATGTTGGTATCTGTGTGGGTCGGAGCGGAAACTGGAATGCCCACACTCACATCAACAGGTAAACCTCTGGGTCCAATAAATTTTAACTAAATCGATTAGTCTCGCTTCAAAACGATACTGTGTCTGAAGATATTTCTCCAAAAAGAAGTTTCTGTAGCAATAAAATGTTTCTGAAGAATAAACAAACGAATACAACTTATTATTATGAGGAAAATGAAATACAGATACAAGTTATTCATAATTGAGAAGAAGAGAAAAATGCAATCATTAGTAAACTAAAATAATTCTATTGTTAAATGGTTCTCAGAGAAAAGTTTATTCTTGAAAAACAATTTTCATTTTGGACTTATTTGTTATGGTTGGTACAGCTCCGAAGAACTAATTCCGACTCCGCCTACAACTAATACTTTTCCATTCGTTAACACGCATGCTGTATGAGCATGTCGAGCATAACTCAAAGTAGCAGTGATTGTCCACGCACCTGTTGATGAATTATACAATTCAGCACTATTTAGAATACCACTAGTGGTATCATATCCAGCAGCAACTAATATTTTGCCATTGGTTAACACTAATGATGTGTGAAAATATCGAGAATAACTCATACTCCCAGTGATTGCCCACAGACCTGTTGATGGATCATACAACTCAGCAGTATTCCAATCAATTCCATTATCATATCCACCAGCAATTAACACTTTTCCATTTGTTAATACGGATGCTGTGTGGATATATCGAGCATAACTCATACTTCCAGTGAGTGTCCACACTCCTGTCGATGGATCATACAACTCAGCAGTATTTAAATAACCGTTACTAGTAGAATATCCACCTGCGACTAATACCTTGCCACTTGCTAGCATAGATACTGTGTGAAAATATCGAGTATAACTCATACTTCCGGTAAGTGTCCACACGCCTGTTGATGGATCATACAACTCAGCAGTATTTAAGGCACCAAAAGAGGAAGAATATCCACCAACAACCAACACTTTTCCATTTGTTAACACGGATGCTGTGTGATAATATCGAGTATAACTCATACTCCCAGTGAGTGTCCACACTTCTGTCGATGGATTATACAACTCAACACTATTTAAATCACCACTAGTAGTAGAATATCCACCAGCAACCAACACTTTTCCATTGGTTAACACGGATGCTGTATGAATATATCGAGTATAACTCATACTCCCAGTGATTGTCCATATCCATGTTGCTGGATCATACAACTCAGTAGTACTTAAGCTTGAGGCACTAAGAGAGGAAGAATATCCACCAGCAACCAAAACTTTTCCATTTGCTAACATAGATACTGTGTGATAATATCGATCATAATTCATAATTCCACCGATCGACCATCCTACCAGCAAATATTTATTCTATTCAATTTATGAAAAAGAAACATGTATCATTCGTTGCTCAACGGTCCCTAGTGATGTCGCTAGTGTGAAAGTTGCCCAGATCTATCGAAACGGACGACGTTACGGTGTCGTTTTCGACCGTAAACGACTAGCATACGGTATAATTACGGCCGTAAACAACCGTAAATATACCGTTATTCAAGAGTTTACTTCTGGTCTTGACTCCCTGTTTTATGCTCCCGGGTCTATGGATTGCTCTAAAGTATACAAGTCTTTTTTTGTTTTGGCCTCAGATGTGTGCTCCTCATAAAAAATACTAGAAAAAAAAGATGGTAATGAGAATTAAAAGAAAAATAATAATACAAAAGAAATATTTGTCTTTTATTCATATGTTTACCTATTTTGTATAAATGGATAATATAGAAAGAAAACCGAAACAGAATATTAAGGGGCATAACTAAAAAAGAAAAACTTTTATAGCTTTTTCGGAAGGATCATAAATCTAAAAATATAATACTAAACAATTTCATGTTAAGGAAATATAAAAGAACTTGTTAGCTTGTGTTTCTTACTGAAAAGAGAAATTAATAATGTCATAATGCCAGTCAGGTCACTTCTTCACTCACGGAAAAGGAAAGACCCAAGAGCTTGGAAAATATTCAAACAAATCAATAGAAACAAAGAAAATAAAAAATTGATGAAAATTTTGTAAATCCCTTGAAATTATGTTTCG